ATACAGTAGGGCAGGTGTAGTCGGATCGTCACATCACAAGCCGACCCGGAGGCTGTTCAATTATAAACAGCTTTTGTGGAACGCGTTCAGCTGTCGTCGTCAGCCCCCCAACACCCACACTGAACCTTCCTTCTGTTTCCATCCTTGACCCTCTCCAAACCTATAGACCACCCCGGTGAATCCTAACCATGTGTGACGACGAAGAGACCACCGCCCTCGTGTGCGACAACGGCTCCGGCCTGGTCAAGGCTGGATTTGCCGGAGATGACGCTCCCCGTGCTGTCTTCCCTTCCATTGTTGGAAGGCCTCGCCACCAGGTACCGTTCCACTCAGTTAGATCGCTGTATATGTTTTGGCAGTATATAAACATTTTTTAAATGTTCCAATATTTTTTTTATTTTTGTGATGATCCTTATGGTCCTGACTTTAGCCCTAGTGATTAGCATCTTAAAGTAAAACATCTATAATTTCAATTATTAATTTAAAAAAAAAATTTAATTATTATTTTTAGTACTCGTAGATTACGGTCTACATATTGGGCACCCCTGGAATAGAGTAACAAATTCATGGAAAGACTACCAAAAATGTAGTTGAAGTTCCGGAATAACTGAAATACATAAAAACTGAACCTACATTAAACAAATATATCTTTGTCTACAGTAAATAAAACTGAAACAGCTTTTAAAAAAATAAACCAATAAACTCCTGTGTCTCTCCCTCCCCCCCCAGGGTGTGATGGTGGGCATGGGTCAGAAGGACAGCTATGTAGGTGATGAGGCCCAGAGCAAGAGGGGTATCCTGACTCTGAAGTACCCCATCGAGCATGGTATCATCACCAACTGGGATGACATGGAGAAGGTGTGTGTGTGTGTTACGGTGACACTCATTTACTACACTGTGAACAGCTGAACTACCACATTCCTGAGCACCGACGGCGGCCGCCATCACACGCAGCGTTCTATTCTTAGTTGTAACGTCCTTTAAACTACTTTGTTGTTATTTACACAGTCAAGATTTGTCAAAGTTCTGACGACAGCTTTTTTTCTTTGGTATCAGATCTGGCACCACACCTTTTACAATGAGCTGCGCGTGGCCCCCGAGGAGCACCCCACCCTGCTCACTGAGGCCCCCCTCAACCCTAAAGCCAACAGGGAGAAGATGACACAGGTATTTTTTTTAAAACAAAAGAACATTTCTTTTTGCTGTTTTTTCGGCTTCTATACTGAGACGCACCTTTAATAGTGAATTTGCATTTGATTGCAGATCATGTTCGAGACCTTCAACGTTCCTGCCATGTATGTGGCCATCCAGGCTGTGCTGTCCCTGTACGCCTCTGGTCGTACCACCGGTCAGTTTAGTGCAGCTGGTGAACTGTAACAAACAAACAAAAAAAGAGAAAAAAACAAAACAGTGTTCCCTCTCTATATCGCGGTTCACCTTTCGCTCCCTCAGCATATCGCATTTTTAAAATTCCGATCTTGCTAATTTTTTGCTATAGGCTATCACGAAATATAATAATATAATAATAAACTAAAAGACATTTTTAAATAATTATACATACAAAAATTTTGGCTTAAAAAATGTGGATTCTTGTTTTGAAATTGAGATTTTGCAAACGATCGCTGGTAGCATTGTTTACCTAGACAAGATCGTACACAGCGTACTATTGGCTAATACAATGCGTACCAGGTGCACTATTGGCTAATTGAGCATGCTCTTCTGTTCCTCACCCTGATTGGCTCATGCATTATAGCATCTCTGACCATCTCCCCTTGTAGGTCGACCACTCTTTCGTTCACTTCACTCTGCGTCGACATTCTACAACTCTACTGTGTAAGAAAAGGTGATACAGTCTATGGAGGGTTGATAACAGTGTGGGGGAGGTTCGTAAAGGTTAATATATACGTAAATAATATAATAACTATCTTGCCTCTACTTCACGATTTTTCCCATTTCGCGGTGGGTCTTGAAACGCAACTACCGCGATAGGAGAGGGATGACTGTAACACATGACCACATTTTTCAACTTTGACTCTTCCTACCTGGTTAAGGTATCGTACTGGACTCTGGTGACGGTGTGACCCACAACGTCCCAATCTATGAGGGTTACGCTCTGCCACACGCCATCATGCGTCTGGACCTGGCTGGTCGCGACCTGACAGACTACCTGATGAAGATCCTGACCGAGCGTGGCTACTCTTTCGTCACAACTGGTGGGTTTCTGTCGTCATGTTCCGATAGTTTTATTTGCACAGTTTGCAGGAGTTTCCGTTGGTTTTTTTCTCAACTCATTCAAACATTCTCCTCCTCAGCTGAGCGTGAGATTGTACGCGACATCAAGGAGAAGCTGTGCTACGTGGCTCTTGACTTTGAGAATGAGATGGCCACCGCCGCCTCCTCTTCCTCACTGGAGAAGAGCTACGAGCTCCCCGACGGTCAGGTCATCACCATTGGTAATGAGCGTTTCCGTTGTCCAGAGACCCTCTTCCAGCCTTCCTTCATCGGTGAGTTATTGCTTCAATCTCCAGGCGTTTAAATATTTACCCCCAGCGACGAAGCTAATGTGTTGTTGCCCCGACTGAAACCAGGTATGGAGTCTGCCGGAATCCACGAGACCGCCTACAACAGCATCATGAAGTGTGACATTGACATCCGCAAGGACCTGTACGCCAACAACGTGCTGTCTGGTGGTACCACCATGTACCCTGGTATCGCTGACCGCATGCAGAAGGAGATCACAGCTCTGGCTCCAAGCACAATGAAAATCAAGGTAAGAGTACGAAAAAAGTCACTGTATTTATCCATCAAAGTGAATGGACACTCACAGTTATTCTATGTTAACCTTTTCTAGATCATTGCTCCACCTGAGAGGAAGTACTCAGTCTGGATTGGCGGCTCCATCCTGGCGTCCTTGTCCACCTTCCAGCAGATGTGGATTAGCAAGCAGGAGTATGACGAGGCTGGCCCCTCCATCGTTCACAGGAAATGCTTCTAAACACACTTACAAACCCCCCCCCCCCTCCTTTTGTCCATGCATTTTTACACTGTTTGTCTCCTGTATATATAAGTGTAATTGTAATAAAGATACGCCCCTGTGAGAGTATCTCTTGTTCTAGCTTTTTGATTTTATTTTTTAAGACCTGAAGTCAAAATAAGGGTACATTTATTTTCCCCACCCTCACCTAAAGATTTTGAACCTCAACAACAAATAATAGATTTTGCTGGAAAATTAGGGATTAAAAAAAATCAAATAGAAAAATAATTAAATTGTGTCGGACTCCCTGACAAAATGGCCAGTCAGCTATTGGTAGTTTTCATTTGCACTTTTGCCATTTTAAACTTTGATTTGTTTGTTGGATGTTGCAACAGGACTGCCCTGTAAAGACATAATTTCTATTGGTCAGTTTGAAAACAATCATGTTCATCATGTTCGGAACACACAAAACAACAGATTGGTCAGTTTGAAAACAATCATGTTCGGAACACACAAAACAACACATTTAGACATTAAACTAATTGATAAAACCTAATAATAGCATATTACTTGTCTATTGCAATGTTAAAATCGAATTTGTGTTCAAAGACTAATAATCTATTTCTGACCTCTTTTCTAACTCAGACCCTGTTTTTTTACACATCTTTGAGTTTTAATGTTAGCCCTGCATCCCTAAAGTTGCATTCCAGCCAAGAAATTATTCTTTTTGTCCACCCAGGTAAACATTTTTACCTAGAAATGTCCATTTCTATCAGCTACTTCAATCAATCGGAAATTGCGAGTATGTTCTTTTAAAAGAGAACCTGGTTTGTTTTTAATTTATTGTGTATGTAGACTTGTATCGTTAGATGGAAAACATAACAAAAAACTACCAAAACGTATCTCTCTCTTCATTCTTAGTGGATGAAAACGTTAGTTAGATCATGTTATATCATGTACCGAGTACATTTACAAACATGCATTCAACATAGTTGTATAATTTTTTAAATGTGTATTTCTATAGCGGACGAATAATTACCTCCACGGGGTAGACCGGTTTAAGAAAGCCGAACGATTCACTATTAATGTTACTCAACAGTAATCGTCCCGCCCGGCTGGGCCACGCTGGTAAATAAAACACGCCTCTTAACAAATGTTATTCACTCTCAGCCAATCAGGACGCGCGGGGGAGTGAGCGCTGCTGTTTGAATGCTCCGCAGAAACAGACTCTCAACCGAAATGAAGACTCGACGTAACACAGCGTAGTTAGCTCATAGTATAAGCTAATGTTGTTTTTCCCCACCACCGGGGTACAAATAGACGCTTATTTTAGGTAGAGAGGCAACGAAGAAAAAAAAAAACGACTGAAAGAGGTTCTTGTTGTCTCACGGAGCAAAGCTTATAAACGTTAGCTAGTACACTGCATTGTCGCTAAGGTGCGTAAGAAGCTATAATGTAACGCTAATCCTATCGTAAGTATTGTAGATTATTTAGTTTATTTTTTATTTTAGGCAACTAGTGTAATATAAGAGTCGACAGGTCCTGAGAATGATTCAGAGTATGTTGTTTAAAAAAGAGTGACTGTAGCACGACAGGGTCTAATTTGTAGCGGATGTCCGTCAACTCCCTTTCCGACTGAAGGACTATTGCGGGTCGTTACTGTAAAACGTTACGGACAGGAGTTAAAAATGAAAATCGCGGAGAGAAATGTCATGCGTCTGGTGGCCGTGCAGCACCTCCGCGCTTCGTACGGGATAAAGACAAAGAACTGGAACAAAAACAAGGCAGCCAGCAGCAAGTGGACAGCCAGCAACTCGGTAAGTTTGAGGAACAAAAAAAAAAAAAAACCCAGCAAAACTAATATTCTAAAGAGTATCAACAGAGAGGAGGTCAGGGCTCAGACGGACTATTGTGCAGATTGGTGAATGAGATTAGCATATGAGTGAAAGCAACTCATGAGCTTTATGTGTTCTCATGCTGTTGCCACTCATGTTTGGCTGCCCTCGTGACAATGCGTGCCATAAATCTCTATCGACGACTGAAACCCAAGTTCAACAAAAGAAACAAGTTTTCTCCTAAATTGCATTGTCACATTTCGCCAGTAGAAACTCTCATTTCGGAAAAGGAGGCTGTGGCGCAGCTGTTGACGTTAAATCACCACTGAAAGGCTTTCTTTCTTCTCGGAAACTGTCTGTAATTGGTCCACGAGAGTCACAAGGTTTCTTGCGACAGACTCTTCGACCATTCAAACTTCTTCATTTGCTGAAACCCTCTCGTTTGAAGTCAGTGACGTCAAAGAAATCATTAGTTTGTCTTTTAATTTATTTTAAATATACGTGATTAATTTACAGATTATCACACTTTTTGTATTACAACAAATAGGGAAATGCAACCAACCTTTATCTTGCATGAATTTTATGTTGAAACTAGGATAAAGGTCAATGAATTTCTCATGATTCTTTTGTAATTTTTCTTTTTTAATACCCCAGACGAAGGTTTTCGGGGTGTCCCTGGAGAGCTTACCTTGCTATAACGTGGAGAGTGGGAGCGTGCCGAGGTTAGCTGCCAACCAGTATTTTCTTTCTTTTTTTTTTCTATTTTATAGAGTTGGTTAAAAATGTTTTCATTTGCTGTCTGTTCAGATTTCTGGTCGATGCCTGTATGGTGCTGATGGCACATGTGGACACAGAGGGACTGTTCAGAAAATCAGGCTCTGTGGTTCGACTGAAAGCACTCAGGGTGAGTGATGGCTGACGTTGACCTCACTTTCATTCCCTGACCTTGACTCAGTGAACCTTCTTAACACAGCAGGGCTTGTTCCTTTTGTTCAGGCTAAAATAGACGCCGGCGAGGAGTGCCTGTCCACTGCTCTCCCGTGCGACGTAGCTGGTCTGGTCAAACAGTTCTTCAGGGAGCTGCCGGACCCTGTCCTTCCCACGGAGCTGCACGAAGTCTTTCTCAAGGCACGGCAGCTTCCTGCAGAAGAGGACAGGAAGTCTGCCACCATGCTGCTCTCCTGTGTACTGCCTGAGAAAAACCTCTGTGTGCTGCATCACTTCTTTGACTTCCTGCACAATGTGTCCAAGAGGTAACAATTTTTAAAAAAGTTTACGAGCATTGAGGGATGTTCGATATTCACAATGTGTCCAAGAGGTAACAATTTTAAAAAAAAAGTTTACGAGCATTGATTACTAGGGATGTTCGATATCAACTTTTTGCGTATATGGTCCAAACCCTTAATTTCCGAATACGATATCAACCAATACTGATCTGTACAACCCACTGTATGACATTAATTAAATGAGCTGCAATGCTGCCATCTAGTGACCTTTGCTGTAATATACAGCCGTTTATCCCCAAATCTATTTTAGGACACATCATTTGGCGAAACCCAGGCATTGCGTTATAGGATTTTCATTATCGGAAAAACCGGTAACTCTTACAGAGATTACATAATATGCTAATATCGGTCGATATTATCAGACATCCCTATTGTTTACCAATTTATTAACTAACATTTCTCCATTAACTTCACCTTTTTTTATCTTGATGAACTCCAGGAGTGTAGAGAATAAAATGGACAGCAGTAACCTGTCTGTGATATTGGCTCCGAACCTCCTTCACTCTGGAGATGGCACGGAGAAGATGAACGCCAACACGGAGAGACGCCTCAAGCTACAGGCGTCTGTAGTACAGTGTTTCATAGAAAACGCTCCCAATTTTGGTAAGCAGTGGGGCGTGTCACCTTTGTTGTCCTTTTTTTTTTGTCTAAATGTTATTCTAACATATTTTTGGTGGTAGGTGTGCTGCCACAGTGCCTTCAAGCAAAGGTTCCAGCCATGATGGGCTGTGAGCCTGGGCTGTTGTCACCTGCCCACGATGAACTGGAGGAGATGGACCTGAACTCGGGGGTTAAAAGGAGAAACAGGCGCAGTTTTGGAGGTAAGGTGACATCACCAGGAATACCTTTGAGGATGAAAACTCCAATTTAAATGATGGGTACGAGGAGAGGTGCAGAACCTCAGGTTGAAACCACCATTCGGCCCTTTGACTATTAAAAACATTCTTGAACTCCTTGAACACCGACTTGTCTCATATTTCAGATATGGTCAATGGGGCTCTGAGTAAGATAAAAACTAATAGAACACCCACACATGCCACCCACTCAGACAGCCACGGTATGTACTGCCCTTCAGTCAGTCAGATGAATTACCTGTGAGCTGCTTCCTGCGTGGCATGATGACTGAAATACGCTTGTCCCTTTCAAAACAAAAGTCTTCCTGCTGTAATCTCTGCTAATGAAAAACAAGCACATTTTCGGTGGCAAAAAAAAAAAAAAAACGGGTGTGAATGAAGTTTCAACAATAGATCACTGAATTTGAAACCATGCTTGCACTCTTCGGCTACTCTTTGCTTGCCCGCATCTGAAATCTCTTCACTTTTCCTCAGCATCGTCTCTGTCATCTCCTTAAATGAAGCAAATCTTTAAAAAAAATCTAAAAATGTTAATTTTTTTTTTTTTTATCGCATTCCCGCCTTAGTGTTTTCTTCTGCCACTCCCGTGATCGCAACGCCAACGTCCAAGCGAAAGTTGCCTCTGGAATCGGGTCACTCTTTTGGATTCTCAAACAAGAAACGCAGATCTGTCAAAAAGAACCTCGGCATAGATTTACTCCCCAGCGCTCTGTTCGCTGGAGCCTCAACTCCTGGATCAGGTATTGATTAAAGGGACGGTGGAGGTGGGCACCAACTGTGTGACTCCTACGTCATAATTAAGTTCCTTTTTTTTTTTTTTTTTTTTTTTCTTTATTGTTTTTATAGTTCACAGTGCCTCTGGGGTCTTGGACTCTTCCCAAAACGCCCCACCCTCAGCCGGGAAAAGCAGAAGGCAGTCGGCAACATCGGTGAGGAGGAAAAGTCGACGACTGAGTAGCAGACATGCAGTCAACAGGTACACACTTGTTCTCTCCCTCCATTGAATTCCATAATGATTTAAAAAAAAAAAAAGGGTTCAATGATTTTATTTTATGCTCATTTCAGAGTGGAATCCGGAAGAGCCGGTTGCTTTTCCCCTAAAGTTGGCAAAAAAGACGTTCCACGCAAGTCTCTGCGCCTGCGCTTTAGCCTCGGGAAGAGCAGCAGGGATGCTGTAAGTGTGGTCGTCTGACAGACTTAGTGTTGAATAAGAGCAACGTGATTGATCTGAGCTTAATTTTTTTTCTTTTTTTTGCCAATCAAGTTCTTGTATGTTTGCACGTGGGGTCGGGGTTACGATGGGGGGGGGGCTTAGATGGTGCACAGGAGCACTTTGATTACGTGGAAAACACGACACTACTTTTCAGAGCTCCATCGATACGTATATCAATGTTGTTTGAATGTTTACAAGAATATAATTTTAGCATTTAGTCTTCATGAACGATACATATAGGTGGACTAGTTTCCATGCTAACTCAGGGGGAATTTACAAATAAAAGGTTTCCACTCTGTACGTTAAGCAGCGGCGCGCTAGCTAGCTAGTGCTGCCACTGAATGTGGCAGAGCACAGTGATAGTCTACCTGTCGGTGTTAATCCACACTCTAAAGCATCTCATTCCACTCTGTGACCTCGACTCATCGACTGTCTCAGACGAAGTCGGTTTCATTTTGGTAATGGCCCCTCACGGCAATGCCTAGCATCGGTCAATGGTAAACATAATAAACGACCCCTGACAGGTACAACATGTCTATGTAAATGAGCATGACCAACATGAAACTGACTTCAACAGAGAAGCCAGTTTGCACTTTGAGTTAAATAATAAAACAATCCATATTTACGTACCTAGAGGTGCGAATTTATTGCGCCAACATGAAACTGACTTCAACAGAGAAGCTAGTTTACATTTTGAGTTAAATAAAAAAATAATCCATATTTCTGTACCTATAGGTGCAAATATATTGCACAGCCTGTCACCGCTGCTTAAAAAGTTACTAGCGGAAGTTCTTAATAATAAATAAATAAATAATGGTTAAAGGTAAATTGTGACCAATCCCAGGTCTGTAGGTGAACTACTCTTTGCTCTAGTACCATGTACAGAATATTCCTGACTAAATAAAAAGTTGTTGACCTACAAAACCCAGTATTCGTCTCTTCTGAGTGGTTCTCGTCTTCCCCCCGTAGAACTAACCACGGCGGTCATGTGATTAACACGGGGGGTTTTCAGTGGCTCGACATCTGTGGGATTCTTATTAACCTAATAATCTCAAACCTAACCCTCCTCGACGTTTCTTTCATCTTTCATTTTTCATTCCATGCCGGTGATAAAGGGATCCGAGTCCATCGGCTGGCGACTCGCTTCACAGGAGAGCACGACCAAGTTTTGTTTCTCCAAAGACACAGAGTTCAGTCCCTCGGCCGTGCCTAGAAAAACTGAATCCAAGAGTGAGTATCCGCCAAGAAAATCGAATCACCGCCTGGTTGAGTTTGAGATCAAATGTTATTTCTGTTTTGTTTTTTTCCCCCCATAGACTCCAAGTACATCAGTAAGTCTGAAGACAACTTGTTGACTCCACAATGTGACTCCAGTACTCACCAGATCTCCTGGACTGGAGAGACCCCCGTAGGAGCCAAGGTTTTCAGTGGCGCGTCCTTCACCGACACCCCCATGAGCATGTGCCTTAAGAACACCTACAAGTCTGAACCGGCTATAATTCTGCCCAAGTCCCCGGCTCTGACCGGCCTCCCCAGAAAACTCTGCTGTGCCTCCAGCGCCGAGAGCCTCGAAAGTGAGAACTCCGTCTCCGAGGCCCAAACCCGAACCCGTCGGACCCCGCTGAAAACCCAAGAGGCCTCTGCAGAGCCGGAAAGTGACGTACGGGACTCCTGCTGGCCAGCCGCAGAAACTGTGACGAAAACGTCAGGCGGCTCGACGAACGTTTCGTCGGGAACTCCTGCGGCCTGCCGGTCTGTGAACGCCACGCACGGCCTTTTGGCCAGTGAGCAGAACATCACCTTTGGACAGTTTGATATCGCCGCCTTGTCTCCTTTGCATATCGATAGCGTAGTGTTTGAACCAGGTGCGTGCTGTAGCCCGATGCTAAAGGCTAGCAGTAGTTCTCCAGGTCCCACTGCTATACTCAGTCCTCGCGGCTGTAAAACGGGAGACGGCGAAATAGAGGCAGAGCGGATAAACTGCAGCAGGTTGATCGACGCTCTGGACGTGCAGAGTCCCGCTCACTTCAGACCAGGCGTCAACTCTGGGCTGCAGTCCACGCCGTACAAGCTGGACTTCCAATTCCCACATGAGCTCGGTACACCTCCCAAACTCGCGGTTCTGAACGGATCCGTACACGACGAAGAGGAGTTCTCTGCAGGGAATCTGCAACAGACAGACAAGAGGCGCGTGGCCGACCACATCCAACACTTCAACAAACTCACCCTTCACTCCCCCAAGGGCTCCAAGGTCGCACAGATCAGATCGCCGCTCAGGTTCCAGCGCACACCGGTGCGTCAGGCCGTACGCAGGATTAACTCTCTCCTGGGAGACGGCCGGCGGGCCCCCAGAGCAACC